TTCTGACGCCCGGCACCTATCCGGCTAATGTGCACTGTCATGTACTCAGCCTCAGCAGAGCATAGTACGGTGTATGTTAAGCTGGTTACGGGAACCGCCATAGCGTGGTCGCTGTCGCACGTTGGGTTAGACTTAACTGAGTCTCGGTCAAATGGATGGACGACTCAGAGGCAGTAAGTTGGGGTCATCAATGACAAGTTGGATGATTTTACTCACTCATCCAGCCAGGAGTTGGATCTTTATGATTTAATTGGAACTCTGTTCCTAACCAAAGTAGTCTGCTTGTAAGACGTGCCTCAGCCAATTACAAGTATGGTGAAAAGGTGTCCTGGTCCGGTTGTAGTAATATTGTTTGCCCAACACCAGACCAAGAGCTGAGAGCCCGGCTCATCAGTTGGAACTATGTTCCTACCTAAATAGTTGTCTTGTGGAGTAACGCCTAAGCGGAACGCAAGATAATGAAATATGGATCTTGGCCCACTAGATTTTTCGCCGGAAATCTCCGAATCAATATCGAGGGTTATTGATTTGTTAAAAAATAGTGGGAGATAAGTAATTAAAGGCCTAATTAATTATTAAACATGATAGATAACCTATTTTGCAAAATTTTCTGTAGATGGCAAACAACAACAACCCTTTCAACCTGCGATATGTTCTAGAAAAGGAAAAATTATCTAGAACTAACTTTCTTGATTGGGAGATGAATCTTAAGATTGTTCTCGAATGCGAGAAAAAGCTTTACGTCCTAACATCTGAGCCTCCCAAAGCTCCTGAAGCGAACGCCCGTGCTGTATAAATTACTTCGTACCGGAAGTATGAAGATGACGCACGTGATGTGAGATGTCTCATGCTAGCCACCATGACCCCGGAGCTCCAAAGGCTCCACAAGGACATGGAAGCTCATCCTATGATGACTCGCTTGAAAGGTCTATACCAAGGCCAGGCTAGACATGAGCGTTTCAAAATCTCTACGACTCTGTTTTCCAGTAAGCTGGCAACGGGTAACCTAGTTGGTCCCCACGTTCTCAAGATGATCAGTCAGATCGAAACTCTTGAAAAACTGGACGCCCCGTTGCACCCTATGCTGGCAACTGATCTCATCTTGGGATCATTACCAGCTGAGTATAGTCAAACTGTAGTGAACTTCTACATGAACAAACAAGAGATGACTATGCCTGAGCTACTGAAATTCCTCACAACTGCTAAGGAGAGTCTAGGGAAGGGCAAGGGTAAGTCTGTCCTGATGGTAGAGGGTAGTACTGTTGCGAAGAAGAGTGGGCCACGTTCGCCGGCCGGGACCAAGCGCAAGGGTTCTAAGAAACCCAAGCCAGCGTCCAACTCCTCTTCGTTGAAACCCAAAGAAGGAGCTAAGAAGAAGTCTGCTGTATGCTATTATTGTGGCAAAAAGGGTCACTGGAGGCGCAACTGCGCAAAATTACTGGCAGAGAGGAAAG